AGACTGGGTTTGAGTCCCAGCACCTACATGGCGGCTATGAACTGTCCTTAACTCCAGTTCCAGGGGAATAGGAAGCCCTCTTCTGACCTCTGCAGCATTGCACAACATGCGTGCACTCACATACATGCAGGCAATATGCTCATACGCATAAAATTAAAATGATAAAAAATAAAATAAATTTTTTTAAAAAAAGAGATCATGAATGGAAAAAAGTTTAAAACCTGATATATTAATAGATGATTTTGTTTGCAAAACACTTTATGTTCTGGAGGAAGCTCTGTCCTGACAGCCGTTGCTCAAGGCCTGCATTGTGTCAGGCCTTCTGGGGAGAGAAAGGCCAGCTGGCTGCTACACCCATCCCTTAAAAATTTCTTGGGCAGGGCTGGAGAAATGGATGGCTCAACAGTTAAGAGCACTGGCCTCTCTTGAAGACCCAGATTTGATTCCCAGCACCCACATGACAGCTAACAACTGTCTTTAACTACAGTTCCAGGGGATCTGACGCCCTCTTCTGCCCTCCACAGGCAATGCATAACACAGGTGTACTTACATACATGCTGGCATAACACTCATAACACAAAATTTTTTTTTAATTTTTTTAATTTCTTGGGCAAAAAAAGGGGATCATGAATAAAGAGTTTTAGATGGCCTGTCCTAACTGGCCTCCCAGCTCAGGCCATTATACAGACTCTGCTACAGGCTCTGCTACAAAGGTTAGCTAGATTCCAGAATGCCTCTGCTCACAACCCTGCAACCTCATTCAGTACGAAAGCTATCCTTCTAGTATGATCCTGCTGCAGAGAGCTCTGAACCCCCTGGGCACACAGCTGCCTCGGGCCTTTGTTCTGTCTTCTCCCTGTCCAGTCATATTCTTGCCCCCAAACTTGGGCTCAGCTCCTACATTTCTTCAGGTCTTTACTCAAATGGCTCCTTCACAGTGAAGCAGTCCATGGAGCTCTACCCCAAAAGATCACAACATTCCACACAGTATTTCCTATCCACCCTTCTTAGTTTTTGTCCCTAACTCTTGTCACTAATATATTACACCTTTACTTGCCTTGTCCAAGTTATCTTCACAATAACCAATCAGAGCCCACTGGGTAGGAATATTTGCCTGTTTTATGCACTCTACATCTCCAACAGCAAGAAAAGTACTAGAGCCACAGTATTTACATCACCCAAATGACTGAATGAATTCACTAAAATTAGGGTTTCCATGTGTATTTTCTTTATGAAGCCATACTAAGAGTATAATAAAATGAAGTTTAAATCATAAACTCGGGACAAAGAGAATAGGAAATAATACAACAGTAGAAAGGACTTGTCACAAACTATGGAAGGAAAAAGACACAGATGGCAACTGTCCAGTTCTGGCTTTTTCTGCCCTGCTAACAGATCTGGGAGAAGCAGAGGCCAAGAACAGGTGCATTCTCTCAGCAGAATCCCTAACGGGCTGTGAAATGAAAAGCACAGTTACCTTGGAGGAGGGCTATGGCAGGGGGACAGATAATTAAAGAAATGCTTCCAAGTCTGCCCCTAGGTCCCAACCTTCTTGGCCAGATGCTCTTCCAGCCACCAGAGAAATGGCAGTGTAGCGTCTAAAAGGCTAAAGAACAACTCTACCCTTGGGGCCAGGGAAATGGCTCAGTGGCTCTAGGCATACAAGCCTGAGGACCCAACTCAAGTTCAATATCTGGAACCCACTTTAAAAGTCAGATGCAGGGGCACGCATCTGTAACCACAGCACTACTACAGCCAGGCAGAGCAGAAACACCTGGATGCTCACAGGCCACTAGCCTAGAGTACATAGCAGCAAAGAACAAGAGAGGCTCTGCCCCAACAAAAAACCTCCAGAGCTGTCTTCGGACCTGTCACACGCACACCATGGAATGCATACACACACACACACAATTTTTTTTAATCTAGCCTTATATACCAAACTCCATAATGAGGTACTGGGTATTGAACCCAAGGCTATGCACATGATATGCAACAAAACCATGTCTTAAAGCAACAACAAAATCTTGGCATGGGGCCTTCATGGTGCCTTTCCAGAGTGGGCTTTTTCTTTATTCTTTTAAACTTACTTCCTAAATGTGATGCGCTGCTGCAACTATTGCCATTGAGAAGCACAGTACAAAGCTACAGAGTGCAACCAGTTACATTAAGGACCAAGGTTTAATGATGACTCATTTTTTTTAAGAAGCAGAAAATATTTCTATATTCAAGATAATCTCCACAATGACACACCCAAGCTCCATGTAGTGGTGGACACCTCTAAGCAAGCACTTAAGAAGTGGCAGCAGAAACATCAGGAGCTCAAAGCCAGCCTGAGTTACAAGAGATTCAGTCTCAAAAAAACAAAAATAAAATAAACATACACTCACCAAATTTACACTCCCTCCTATCTTCATGTTTTCTTCAGTGTTGGCTTGGAAGGTGGGGAGGCAGAGCCATAGAAGCATGCCAAGAACTGCACCCCACCCTGCAACACCAACGCAGTGTGGTTTACGTGAACAACACGTAAGATCTGCTCTGAGGGAGAGGAGAAGCCACTGGACAGTAAGAGCAGTAGTAACAGCAACAACAGCCAGCAGCTATCAAGCACATCCTACTGTCCAAGTGCTTAACAAATACTTGGTTAAACTTAGATTACTGCAATACTCACTGAACACATCCTAACACCCCTAAAAATCTATTCTGAACATGGCAGATAGCATCACTCTTCTGCTCTGTCCCTCATGGCTCCCACTGCCTCTAGAGGACAACCAGGACCTCACTGCCTTTCTCGGACCCTCTCATCACACCCGGCAAACCCACATGATGGCTGCTTTGTTCCTTCACCCTACCAAGCACTCTCCACTTTTTGATGCTCCCTCTTTTACAACACTGTCCTCTTAAAACTTCCCACTTTCTTCAGTTCTCTGTTCACATCACTAAAGCCTGCAGGTGTGTTAGTGCATCCATGTCATGCAATGCTGACAGAGGTCAGAAGGTGGACTTGTATCTCCTGGAACTGGAGTTAAGGATGGTTGTCAGCTCCCATGTGGGTACTGGGAATCGAACCCGGGTCCTTGGCAAGAGCAGCCAGTGCTCTTAACCACTGAGCCATCTCTCCAGCCTCCCTTATGTCACTTTTGGTCATGGTGTTTAATCACACCAATAGGAAAGTAACTACTACACCTACATAAGCACCCCATTCCAACTCAGCAATAGATACACAGCCAGATCTGATAGAGCATACCTATAATCTCAGCATTCGGCGGGAGGATCAGAAGTTCAAAACCAGTTTGTTTCAAAAAGAAGAGAGGGAGGAGGAGGAGAGGACGAAGAGATTAAGAAGAGAGGGAGGAGGAGGAGAGGACGGACAGATTAAAAGACAGAGAGAGACAGAGAAACTGATATACAAAGTAGAGGATTACTATGATCCAAAACTCATCAACTCTTGGTTCTAAAATTTTTCTTTTCTTTCTTTTTTGGTCTTTTCTCCCTGTAGCCCCAGCTCAGGAATCCATCTGCCTCTGCGTCCCAGGTGCTGGGACTAACAGCGTGTGACACTATGTCCGGCTCCCCTTTTTTTTTCTTTTTGGTCTTTTTGAGACCTATAGGCCCAGCTGCCCTGGAACTCGCTATGTAGACCAGGCTGGCCTTGAACTCACAGAGATCTGCCTGTCTCTGCCTCCTGAGTGCTGGGATTAAAGGCATGTGCCACCAGGCAACCCCCCCCTCTTTTTTTTTTTATCCATTGCAGAATTTTAACTTTTTAAAATTTATTTTGTGTGCGCACGCACAAGTATACACACCACAATGCACATGTAGAGGTTAGAGGACAACTTTCAGGAGCTGGTTTTCTCCTTCCACCATGTGGGTTCCACAGAATGCAGGTCATGAAGCTTAGCAACAAGCATCCTTATCCACTGAGTCATCTCATGGGTGAAATATTTTTGGTTTTATTTTTATGATACAGGAAATTAAACCCAGGGGCTTGTTCATGTAGGCAAGCACTCTACCACAATGCTATATTCCCAGCTCTTTAATCTTATTTTTTGTAAGATTTATTTTTATGTGTATGAGTGTTTTGCCTTCATGTATGAGTGTGCACCAAACATGTGCAGTGCCCTTGGACACCAGAAGAGGGAATTGGAACCCCTGGAACTAGAGTTACAGATGGTTGAGAGCTGCCGTGCTGAGTCCTGGAACTGAACCAGGGTCTTCTACAAGAGTAGCAAGTGTTCTTAACAGCTGAGCCATCTCTCCAGTCCCAGCTCCTAAATCTTGATATTTTTTAATTATGTATTATGTTAAAATGTTCATAAAGAATACATATCTGCAAGTGTTCGATATGTCTGTTTCTGTATGTGCGTCTCTGTGTCTATGTGTATGTGTTTATATGTATTTGTATGTGTTTGTATATGTATGTGTGTATGTACATGAAGTGTGTCCAAAGGTCTATGCCAGGCTTCTTCTAGCCCTTTCTACCTTATTGGCAGGACAGGGTCTCTTGCTCAACCTATAGTAGCTGGCCAGTGAGCTCCAAGGATCCCCCTGTCTCTGCCTCCCCAGAACTGGGGTTACAGACATGTACCACCACACTCAGCTTTTCACATCAGTGCTGAGGATGCAGGATCAGGTCCTCATGATTGCATAGCAAGCACTTCAATGAGTGAGCCATCTTCACAGCCTATTTCTCACCCCACCCCACCACAGCCATCCGGCACCCCACCATGGCCATCCACCTCTCTAGTTCCCTTGCTGTCCACACACAGTCTTCTGTTTTCAGATCTAGATTCCAGATATGAGAGAAAATCTGCTATTTTGTCTTTCTCCCACCACTCCCATTACCCTTTCTTATTACCTGTAGCTGCTGAAGATCATCTTCCTGAATGTTCTGAGACAAATTGTAAATCTAGAAAACAAAATCCAGATTTATATAGTTTAGTTGTGGCTTACTTCAAACAAATCCCAAATAAACCTAAAGCACCTGACAGAGCTTTGTATGATTAAAGGTTTGCACATAAGCATATGAGGGCTGCTTATACAGTAATATTATCTGTCTTTTGGGAAAATAAGAATTTAAGTCTAAAATCACAAAGTTCCTTCTTTAGAGTTAAAAATAGTTGAAGATGTTTGGGATTTTTATTGGAATACTTTGTATATCATATAAATGGGAAAATTAACTCTTTAGCTTCTGAGAATTTAAGTTACATATATAGTCTGTGCTGATTTTATCTATCATCAACTGGACACAGACCTAGAGTCACCTGGGAAGAGGGAACCTCAGCTGAAGAACTGCCTTGATCAGACCGTCCTGTGGCCATATCTTGATGGATAGTGGTGTGGGAGGGCCCAACCCACTGCGAATGGCAACATTCCTGAACAGGTGGACCTGGGCTGTATAAAAAGACTAAGCATAAGCCAGGGAGCAAGTCATTAAACAGTGTTCCTCCATGGTTCCTGCCTTGAGTTCCTGCCCTGACTTGTCTCAATGATGGATTCTAACCTGGAACCGTAAGACAAATAGATCCTCTTCTTCACAAGTTGGTTTTGATCAGAGTTGTTTACCACAGCAACAGAAAAGCAAACTAAACCAAACCTAGAAAGAACACCTACCTCCACAAGAATTATGTTAACAGAAAAGTATGAGCTAGAGAGGCCCAGAGGCAGAACAGGTGGTGTCTAGCATTGCCAAGGTCCTATATTCAATCCCCAGGAGGGCAGGGGTTTTGATCAGTTGTTTACCACAGCAACAGAAAAGGAAACTAAACCAAACCTAAAAAGAACACTTATATCTCCACAAGAATTATGTTAACAGAAAAGATGGGCTAGAGAGGCTCAGAGGCAAAATAGGTGTCTACCATTGCCAAGGTCCTAGGCCCAATCCCCAGGAGGGCAAGGGGAGGTGCAGGAAGGGAGGAGTTAATACAAAGGAAGGGGGGGGAGTGGAGTAGAGGACAGAAGGAAAAGGAAAAAGGGAGACAGAGAAGGAGGAGGGAATCTTACCTGAACAGAACTAGTCATGGTACTTAGAGCAAAGATGGTAGCACAGTCTTTCACAGTTGACTGGCTGTCAAATGCCCCCTGCGTATCCATCAGAACAACTGCAACCTAAGAAAAAAGAAAAGAAAAATAAACAGGTTAAGGCAGAGAAGGAAATGCAAATAATAAATTTAAAAGTACACAGCTGGGCCTGGTAGCTCACACCTATAATCCCAGCACTTGGGAAGCTGAGGCAAGAAGATGGCCACATGTTCAAGACTAGCCTGGGCTACATAATGAGTTCCAAACCAGCATGGGCTATAGAGCAAAACCCTGTCTCAAAAACCAAAAGAGAAGTACAGGTAACACTGACATGAACTACCAGCATCTGCTTGTGGGTTCTATTGGAAAACTGAAATGAGGTGTCTTGCTTTGCCCCGAGCTCTTTGCTGGAAGTTATCCGCTCTGACCTGTGAGATGATACAAAATAGGTAAATAGGAGTAGCAGGAACCTGGAGAAGGAACTGCAGTACAGACCACAGAGGAAGCAGCTTACCAGCTTGTTCCTTTGGCCTATGCTCAGGCTTTCTTATACAACCTAGGACCCCCTGCCCAGGGTTGGCACGGCCCACAATGGGCTAGGCCCTCCCACATCAACCAGCAATTTAAAAAAAATGCCCCATGGAAATGTGCAGACCAATCAGATGGAGCATGAAATGCTTCAATTTCAGTTTCCTCTTCCTAGCTGTATCAAGTTGACAGCTGAAGCTATCCAACACACCCAGGCTCAGAAAGACAAAGATCATATGGTCTCTCTCACATTTGCCTGAATGTGTAAGAACATCCGTGTCATGCAATGCAATGAGTGTGTACGCACGCGGCAGTCAGAAGAGGGAGTCAGATCCCTTGGAACTGGAGTTACAAAGAGCTGTTAGCTGCCATGTGGGTGCTGGGATTCAAACCTGGGACTTCAAGAACAGCAAGTGCTCTTAACAGCTGGAGCCATCTCTCCAGTCCCCCAGTTTCTAATTTTTATATATGTATTATTTATGTGGGTATGAGTACGTAGAGAGGACAAGAAACTAGAAAGGGGCCTATGAGAGGAGAAAAGAGGCTTTAAAGGACGAGGGTAGTAGAAGACCTGATTTGAAAGTGGAAAATACTAAGGATGAAAAGATTTAAGTTGCGATGGGGGGTAGGGAGATGAGGGAAAGAGGGGGTGAGGGGAAGTGTCAACCAAAAAAAAGTATGTATGAAAATCCACAAGGAAATCTGTTACTTTGTAAGCCAATTAATAACAAATAATTTAAAATATTAATAAATATAATCTGATGGGCTGGAGTATTTAAGCATTTTATGTAAAAAGCTGTATTTATCTTCCATATTTCTAGGATTTTCTGGTTGACTGATTTTAAAGAATTAACACTTCAACTTTTACAAAACACAGAACACAATAAAGATGCCATTAGGTTAAAAAAAAAAAAGAAAAAGGGCATGAGGTTGGAAGGGAAACTCCAGACGTTGAAGGAAATGTTGGGGAGGGGTGAATATGACCAAAATACACCATGTACATCTATGAAAGAATAAACTTAGAAAAATGTTAAGGGCTGGAGAGGAGGCTCGGTGGTTAAGAGCACTGGCTGCTCTTCAGAGGATCTGGGTTTCATTCCCAGAACACACATGGTGGCTAACAACTGTCAGTAACTCCAGTTCCAGGTGATCCAACACCCTCTTCTGGCCTCCAGAGGCATGGTGGCACATGCCTTTAATCACAGCACACTTGACCAGCCAGCTGGGGAGACCCTGTCTCCAAAAAAACAAAATTGGTTTTTTTGTTGTTGTTTTTTGAGACAGGGTTTCCCTGTAGCCCCAGTTGTCCTGATACTCACTATGTAGACCAGGCTGGCCTTGAACTCACAGAGATCTGCCTGTCTCTGCCTCCCAAGTGCTGGGATCAAAGGCATGCGCCACCACACGTGGCTTATTTTTATTTTATGTATACGAGTGTACTGCCTGCATGTATGTGAGTGCACCAGTGTTGTGCACTGCCCGGGGTCAGAAGAGGGCTTTGGATTCCCCTGGAACTGGAGTTAAGGATGGTCGTAATGCCATGTGGGTGCTGGGAATCGAACCCAGGTCCTCTGCAAGAGCAGTCAGTGCTCTTAACGGCTGAGCCATCTCTCCAGCCCATTGTTGTTGTTGTTTTAGCTTGTTTAAAAACAATTTTAAGGCCAGGCATGGTGGTGCAGGCCTGTAGTCCCAGCACTGGGGTGGGGGGGGAGGAGGCAAGAGGATCTTTGTGAGTTCAAGGCCAGCCTGGTCTACATAGTGAGTTACAGGCCATCTGGGGCTACAGGGAGACCCTGACTCAAAAAGACAAAAAAAAAAAAAATTTAAGGCCAGGCGTGGTAGCACATGTCTTTAATCCCAGCATTTGGGGGGCAGAGGCAGGAGGATCTCTGTGAGTTCAAGGCCAGCCTGATCTATATAGTGAGTTCCAAGACAGGTGGGGCTACAGGGAGATGCTGCCTCAAAACATACACACACACACACACACACACACACACACACACAAAAAAAAAAAAAAAAAAGGGGGCGGGTAGTAGCACAGGCTGGTAGTATATGCTGAAAAGGCAGTCAGAAGAGTTCAGGGCCAGCATGGGCTACACCTTGGCCAGGTGTGGTGGTGGAAGCACAACCTTTAGTCCCAGTGCTTGGGAGGCAGACAAGCAGATCTCTGAGTTCAAGGCCAGTCTGTTCTACATAGGGACGTCCAGACCAGCCAGGGCTATGCAGTGAGACCCTATCTCAAAACAAAAGGCGGGGGAGCCTTGAAGAGATGGGAATATATCCGAATGTTATCATTATCATTGCAAAAAAACTGGATTGGATTTGAATAGACACTATTCCCAAAATGTACAAATGGCTAGTAAGTACATGAAAAGATGTTCAATAGCCATTACTGAAATACAAATGCAAATCAAAACTACAATGACTAAACAAGGTATGGTGGTGCAAGCCTTTAATCCTAGCACTTGGGAGGCAGAGACAGGTAAATTTCTGTGCAATCAAGGCCAACCTGGCCTCTATTTAGTATCAGGACAGCTGGGGTAGATCTGTCTCAAAAAAACATACGGGCTGGTTCAGTGGTTAAGAGCACTGAGTGCTCTTGCAGAGGACCCAGTTTCAATTCCTAGCACCCACATGGTAGCTAACCCATAACTCCAGTTTCAGGGGAGCCAACGTCCTCTTCTGACCTCCACAGTCGTTGCACAACTGGGGTGCATTTACACATATGCAGGCAATACCCTCATGCACATAAGATAAAACAATAAATAAATATTTTAAAAACAACACCAATAACCAAAAAAACCCACAGTGGCATCACTTCATACCTACTAGGTTGGCTATTAGAAAAAATACCACAGAGCTGAGGCGATAGCTAGGTCAGTAGTGTTTGCCTCACAAGAACAAGGACCTGAGCTGGATGCCCAGAACCCATGTAGAACTGCTGGACTCCACAGTGTGCACTTGTAATCCCAGCACTGGGGAGGTAGAGGCAGGAAGACCCCTGGGGTTCACTGGCCAATCAGCATACTCTAACTGGTAAACTCCAGACCAAGGGCTCAAAAAGAGATAAGCAACGTTCCTAGGAATCACACCAAAGACTATCCTCTGGCCTGCACACATATACCCACATACATGTGCACAGACACATGAATACACACATGTACATGTATCCATACACACATGCACAGACCCTTTAAAACATATACACAAATTGGGTATGTTGGCACACACCTTTAATCTCAGCACTCTGGAGGCAGAGGCAGGCAAATATCTGTAAAATCCAGGCTATTCTAGTTTACACAGTGAGTTCCAGGTCAGCTGGGACTATAGGGAGACCTTGCCTCAAAATAAGAAATAAAAAAGGGGGGCACCTATTCAGAGGTGTATACAGGCCATCAAATGAGTTAATACACATAAGCAGGCATATTGGTATACAGCCGTAATACCAAGACTCAAGAGGATAAGAAATCAAGCTGGAGACCAGTCAGGCTATACAGTAAGACACAGTATCACAATATTAGGTGCTAGAGCCTCTCCCACTTCTAGTAGGAACATTGGTTGGCACAGACATCTTAGAAGCTACTTGGCAGTTTGGAAGGTTGCTTTTTTTTTAATTTTTATTTATTTTTATGTGTGTATGAGTGTTTTGCCTGAATGTACGTAAGTGCACCCATGTCATACAATGCCCAAGGAGGCCAGAAATGGGCATCAGACCCACTGGAATGGTGTTATGGATGGTTGTTACCACGTATACCATATGAGTGCTGTGTGAACCTGGGTCCTCTGCAAGAAAGTCAGTGCTCCTTACAGCCATCTCTCCAGCCCCTTGGCAGTTTTTAGAAAGGTTAATCATGAAGTGGCCATGTGAGGCAAAGCACACTCAGGTTCTCATCCTGTGGTTCTGTTAGAATTTCTAAACCTTTGTTTTTTCCATCCTTACCTTCTTCCCACCTGGCTTCTCCACCATGAAAACTTCACTCCAGATCTGAATTCCAGTGGTTTCCGGGTCAGAGCCTCCTCGCCATGAAAATCCTGTCAATGGTTCTTCTGGGTCACCCAACCAATTTGAATGACCACTTTCTTTCTACAGGAGAAATAAGATGTTTCCATTAAATCTTTGGTTTTGTTTTCAGAGGTGCTGGGGATAAAATATAGGGCTTTGTACGTTCTAGGGAAGCACTGTGCTCCACACCTAGACCCCTCCACTAAATCTTAGGTAGTTTTACACATCGAAGTCATGAGATTATTTTGCTCATTTTCTGCTGTTTCATTTTGTTTTTGCTTTGATTTTTCATTCCTTTTTTTTTTTTTTTTTTTTGAGACAGGGTCTCCCTGTAGCCCCAGATGGCCTGGACATACTACATAGACCAGGCTGGCCTCTGCCTCTTGAGTGCTGGGATTCAAGGCCACCATGCCTGGCTGCTCACTTTCTACTCTGAAGTGAACTAATTCTCTGTTACCTGAGAGTATAAGTACCGCAGCATGAAGTCCAGGATGAATGACTTGCCCTTGCGGAAGGCGCCAGCCACAGACACTACCACCACATCAAGATCTCGGATGTGGTCCTGCAGGAGGATGCTAGCCAAGGCTTTTTCTTCTAGCTCAAAGGAATGCTGCTCTTTGTGCACCAAAACCACCTGCACTGGACCAGGTTTTCCACTCTCCATGGCATCACCTATGTTCATGTAGAGAAAAAAATTCATTTCAAACATTTATATAGAGAGAGAGAAAGAGAGACAGACAGACAGACAGACATATATTTACATGCACACACATCATGAAGAGAGCCAAGTTTTCTTAACAAGGCAGAAATATGTCATAAAACATAAAAAATGACAATAGGATTTCAATAAAATTAGCAATACTTGTTAATTAAAAGATCCCAGTAACAGTTGTACCTACAGAGACTCGTAACTGGTCAAAGTACTAAGAATAAGGGACTGTTGGATGTTCAGTCATAAAGGAGACATCTATCATCCCTATCATCCCCTCCATGGCTCAGGGAACATTATGGAGAACAAGGCAAAGAGAGTGTTAAGAGCCAGAGGAAGCAGCAGAGTGAGGCGGACCGCCATCTTCTTAGAATGTGACATCTTCCCTGCACACTTGATCTCACAGCAGTTGTAATAAGTAACACAAGACTAGATTGGGCCTGTCAACATTCTGTCATGGGGGGGCTGCATGAGAGGCTACCCCAAGGACCTATAGATAGATAAGAAGTCACCTAAGGACCCACCCCTCCCTGAGTATCTGCAGTCAGTTAATAATAGTCACTGGGGGAGGGAGATTTTCTTCAGTGGTAAGGAGCCCATGTTCCTATAAACAATGTATCACCCAAGACTCTGTAAATAACCCTAATGAAACTCACTGGGTCATCAAAAAATAGTGACTAAAGACAAGAAAATAGAAGAGGGACTTGGTGAGAAGAGGAAGGGATTCAATAGTAGCAGGAGGGGAACAGGAAAGGGACGAACGTAATAAAGATACATTATATATGGGGCCAAAAGATGGCCCAAAAGGTAAAAGCACTTGCCCTTACAAGCCACTTGAGTTCAATCTCTGGAAGCCACGTAAGAAAGTCAGATGCAGCAGTGTGCATCTGTAATCCCAGCACTCCTACAGCAGGATGGAAGACGGAGACAAGGAGAATTGCCAGAAACGCATGGGCAGCTACCCTGGAGTACACAGCACAGCAGCAGAACTGAGAGGCCTGGCCACAACAGAGAGGTGAGAACTGACTCCTCAAAGTTGTTCTTTGACCTCTATGCTCTGCACCAGCATTTCTGCACGCTCATACATACATTTACACACGATAATGACAAATGAATTTGAAATCTCAAATACATTATACATGCATGAAAATGCCACAATGAAGCCAAATATTATGTATAATTAACATGGTAAGAAAAACATCTTTTAATCTTTTTATTATTGTATTTGAGTATAGGCCCATGGCACATACATCAAAAGACAACTTTTAGGAGTTGGTTCTCTCCTTCCACCATGGGATCTGAGGGCTGAACTCAGGTTGTCAGGCTTACAAGGCAAGCGATTTTAACTGGCCCCAGAAGTAATTTAAAAATAATATCAAGAGGTGGGCCAGGCATGGTGGCACAAGCCTTTAATCTCAGCATTAGGGAGGCAGAGGCTCATAGATCTCTGTGAGTTCAAGGCTAGCCTGGTCTACATAGTGAGTACCAGGCCAGTTGGGGCTCCTGGGAGACCCTGTCTCAAAAAAACTAAATATAGGGGTTGGAGAGATGGCTCAGCGGTTAAGAACACTGGTTGTTCTTGCAGAAGACCCGTATCCCAGCACCCACATGGCAGCTAACAACTGTATTGTAACTCCAGTCCCAGGGGATCCAACAGCCTCTTCTGACCTCCGTGGGCACTGCACGACACGGGTGCACTTACCTACCTGCAGGTAATACACGCATACACATAAAATAAAAATAATAAATTAAAAAACATATATAGATATATAGATATAGATATAAAAAAAACAAGGGCTTGATGACCTGAGTTCATTCTGGAAGGAGGGAGTAGACTCCTACAAGTTGTCCTCTGACCGCCACATACACACCCCCATACATATACACAAACACAGTAATTTAATAAGAAAAGACATTAATGAGACAGTAAAAAGGCAAAGCCCATTAGGTGTGGTGGCACATGCCTTTAGTCCCAACAGGCAGATCTCTGTGAGTTCAAGGCCAGCCTGGTCTATATAGTGAGTTCCAGGCCATCTGGGGTTACAGGGAGACCCTGTCTCAAAAATAAAAGACAAAAAAAAAAAAAAAAAAAAGAAAGGCAAAGCCCAGTGTAGTGGCCCACATCTGTACTCCCCACCCCTCCCTACCCCGCCAGGACTGAGGCACAAATAATAAGTCCAAGTCAACTTGGGCTACAGACTGATACCCTGTCTCAAAAAACAAAACACAAGCTATGGAGATGGTCCAGTAGTTCAAAGCACTTAAGGACCAGTTCAGATCCCAGAAGACACATAAATAGCAGATGGGCATGGTGACCAGTCCATAATTCCAGCCTCAGAGAACAGAGACAATAGATCTCCAGAGCAAGCTGGCTAGTAAGACTAGTCATTGTCCCTGAGCTCTAGGTTTGAGTGAGATCCTACCTCAATGAATACGGTGGAAGAATGACTGAGAATTCCTGACATCAACCTCGGGCCTCCATATGCACAAGCACACGTGTATGTACACCCAATAAACATGTGCCACACAACACACAAACACACACACACACACACAAATGGAAGAAAAACTACACACACACACACACACACACACACACACACACACACAAATGGAAGAAAAACCTATTCTTCCCCTTGTTCCCTAAATAAAAAGGAGACTATCTGTGGATGATTTTTGAGACAAAACCCCTTTATGTAGCTCAAACTGGCCTGAAATTTAAGGTCCTCCTGCCTCAGCCTCCACAAGTGCTGGAACTACAGGTATGTACCCTACTCCCAATTACTCCTAGAGTTCTTATCACTACAGCAGCAGGTCAACCCAAGTCCTAAAGCTCTTCAATCTCCCATACAAAAGAACCAGTGAGAAAAACTGGGGCTGGGGATGTAGCTCAGTGAGAGCACTTGCCTAGCATGTGCAAGTCCCTGGGTTCTATCCCTAGCTCATTAAAAAAACAAACAACAGCAACAACAAAAAACTGCAAAGAGTTTTTCCAGATCTAATGGAAAAGCCATAATGTAATGTGCAGAACTCAAAGAAGTTTACAAAACAAAGTCCTAACGGTGGCAGAGAAGGCTGGTCATTCCCCCAATACTGATTTCTCCCTCCTCTTATGTAACAGGGTTAGTTTTTTATTATGTTGGCATACAAAGTAATGGGTTTCATTATGGCACTTGCACACATGTACCATTATTCTTTGTTCTAACTCCTCCTCCTCCCCCTATGCAATTTTTTTTAGCAGGGCATGTAACTGCCCCAAAGAAACACACTTCTAGCCCAACCTTAAGTCCATGTGACTAGGTTGTGACCAAAGGGAAATGACTGGAAAAGACAACTTCCAGATCAAGCATTTTCCCCCTTCCTGCTCAATGGATACAGAAGTGGAGTGAGGGGCTCAGCAGTTAAGAGCACTGGTTGCTCTTGCAGAGGACCTGGGTATGAATCCCAGCACCCACATGGTAGCCACCAACTGTCGGTAGCTCCAGTTCCAGGGATCCAACACCTTCTTCTAAAGATGTCTCTCTTGCTTAAAGCACTAACACAAAGGATTTCAGATACAGCCAAATCTAGAAACCAATATAAAAGTCTCCCAAGACTTAAGTTTATACACTGGATCTTTCAATTTCATCTGTTCTTCCATTCAGCTAATTGCACAATGAGAAAGTAACAGCACACATGGCAAGCACACAGTGACTGTCAAATGAATAGAGAGTAGAGTTTAACAAAGTTGAAGGTCACAATCCTAAGGATACTGGTGGCACTTATCAGCCAGAAGCAAGAAAGATAAGGTTGCATAGGCTACATACAGGGAAGAGGGCATATAATCCAACGATAAAAATCTATGTGGTCGGCTATGAACCGTCCCTAACTCCAGTTCCAGGAGAATCCGAAGCCCTCCTCTGACCTCTGTGGCATTGCACAACACGGGTGCACTCACACACATGCAGGCAATATACTTGTGCATTGCACGACATGGGTGCACTCACATACATGCAGGCAATACACTCATGCATTGCACAACACGGGTGCACTCACATACATGCAGGCAATACACTCATACACATAAAAAATTAATAAAAATTAAATATATATATATATAAAATCTGTGTGGTTGGGGGCTGGAGAAATGGCTCAGCAGTTAAGAACACTGGTTGTTCTTGCAGAAGACCCAAGTTCGAATCCCAGCACCCACATGGCAGCTAATGACTATCTGTAACTCCAGTCCCAGGGGATCCGACAGCCTCTTCTGACCTCCACAGGCATTGTACGACATGGGTGCACTCACATAATGCAGGCAATACACGCATACACATAAAAAATAATAAAAATAAAATATACATATTAAAAAAAAAATCTATGTGGTTGGGGGCTGGAGAGATGGCTCGGCAGTTAAGAGCACTGGTTGTTCTTGCAGAAGACCTGGGTTCAAATCCCAGCACCCACATGGCAGCTAACAACTGTCTGTGACTCCAGTCCCAGGGGATCCAATAGCCTCTTCTGACCTCCACGGGCATTGCACAACACGGGTGCACTTACCTACATGCAGGCAATACACGCATACACATAAAATAAAAATAATAAACAAAATTTTAAAATATAAAATAAAAATCTATGTGGTTATGCACAGTGAACTGCCCCTCAAGAAAAGCTGGTGACTGCTGAGGACAAAGGAAAAACCCAAGTTTTCATTCAGCTTCCTCTCTTGCTTCCTGCAATACAATACCCAAGAGAACAGGCTACATTTAGTGGAGAGAGCTGGGTGAGCCTGCACTCTTATCAGGAGTATAAGCAGTCATCAACAGGCACTGGACAAAAGGACCTTATTCACTAACAGTGTTCCTTTGCTTTGGGCCATGTATTTTTTTATTTTATGTATGTGTGTATTGCCTGTACGTAGGTAAGTGCACCTGTGTTGTGCAATACCCTCAGAGGACAGAAGAGGCTGTCGGATCCCCTGGGACTG